CCCAAAGGTCACCTCCTTCTCTGATCCTCAGGGTATTCCAAGCCCATCATTGAAAGCAAGTCCTGGGAGTGCCAACAAGCCTCTTGTAGAGACTGGTTTTTAGAAAAGAACCATAAAGGGGAAAGAATTGTGCACTGTCTTCTACATTTATTGAAAATGCTTTGTTTCTAATCACAAACATCCAGTGAATGCGGTGGGAGGTGTGTGTGTGTCATAGCTGACTATAAGGAAAATATGAGTAATATTACCACATGGGAACAATCTCGAGAGAAAAACACCAAGAGACATTTCAAGAAAAGTTTATTTTAATAAAACTTTGTTATTTTCTCCTTCAGAGAAATAAAGGACCTGTGAATAGTGGTTTTACAAATATGCAAGATGGCCTGGCTAGTGTGGTTCAGTGTTTGAATGAACATCAACACATGAACTAGGTTACTAGGAGGTCAGGGTTCGATTTCTGGTTGGGGCATGCTGGGGTTGAGGGCTAGATCCCCAGTGGGGGGCGTGCAGGAGGCAGCCAATCAATGATTCTCTCTCATCATTGATGTGTCTCTCTCCCTTTCACTCTCTGAAATCAATAAAAAATAGGTTTTTTTTAAATATGCAAGATGGTTCCATCAGCTTAAAGAGGAACGGGAGAGAGACAGCTAACCTCAAGAACTTTTCCCAAATCACATATAAGGAAGAAGAAAAACATCAAGGAAGTTCTCAACCTGGAAACTTTAATAATTACCATCATTAAAAGAAACTGCTTCAAAAAAACAAAAAAAACACAATTAATGATAAAAAAAAAAAAAAAAAGAAACTGCTTCAGAATTTGAGTCATTTGAGGTTCCTGCCAATTGGCAATAACTTGAAAGAATGAGGAAGCACATGTTCTGGTCCCACCTCAGAACACAATTGTGAATTGGGACCTTGCTGGCCTGGCTATAACTGGAAGGAGCCATCAGCAGACATCAGCTCTACGCCTATTACCCTACTACGTGCAAGGGAAGAAACTAGGGGGTAAGTACTATATCCTCAAGGAGCTCAACACTCAGGTTGGAAAGATGGAGCACAGAATTTACAGATGAAAAATAAATATAACAGCAATATTGTCTTCCCCAATAAATTTCCCTAATGGATAGGGCTTTGGGGGGGGAGGGGTAAGGAAAACGAAAATGTTAAGAATAAAAATAGAAAAACAATCGCTCTGGCCAGTGTGGCTCAGTTGGAGCGTTGATCATACACCGAAGGGCTGCTGCGGGTTCGGACCTGGCCTGGGTGTGTAGGGGAGGCAACTGGTCCAAGTTTCTTTCTTGCATCAGTGTTTCTCCCTCTCTCTTCCCTCCTCCCTCTCTATAACCAGTGAACATACCCTGGGGTGAAGATTTTAAAAATAATAAAAAAATAGAAAGTCAATCACCTACAGTATAGATTCTGGAGCCCACGTTTACTTGAATGACTGATCAATCACCTGGAAGGCAAGGTCTGCATGTTACATATTGTGGACAAGAAAGGGGCCAAATACTAAACCTGACAATTCATGGCAGGCCTTACCAACATAAATTCCCAACTAAGGTGGGTGGTCACATCCAAGGCCTGTCGCTTCCTTGATAAAGATCAGTTTAAGTGAGCCTGTCTATCGTCTTTTTTGCATCTAGGATAACACTTAAAATGCCAGCGTAATCTTCTTTCTCAGACCCCTCAGGGCACACCTGCTGGCATCACTGCTTGAGACCACAGAACCCTGTGATCTCATTGCCCCAATATCACCTCTATGTGCTATAAATGTAAATTGTTAACTACCCACCAATGGAAAAGAAGTATGTGTGTCTTTATTTTCCCCTTTTACACAATCCGACAGATTTCTCTGCTTTGCTTTCTCCTGCCCCCTTAATCTACCACCAAGGGATTTCAAGTAATAGTAAATGATAATTATTACTCATATATTTTTTTAAAAATATGTATTTATTGATTTCAGAGAGGAAGGGAGCGGGAGATAGAGATAGAAACATCAATGATGAGAGAGAATCATTGATCGGCTGCCTCCTACACGCCCCCCACTGGGAATCAAGCCTGTAACCCGAGCATGTGCCCCTAACCAGAATCGAACCTGGGACCCTCCAGTCCGCAGGCCAACACTCTAGCCACTGAGCCAAACCAGCTAGGGCTATTACTCATATTGTTATTTATTACTCATTATTATTATAACACGAGCTGTGGGAGGAAAGATTAGTAAATTAGGTAGAAAATCAGCCTAAAAGAGTGCTCAAATCATTGTGAATAAGAAGTACCTATTTCTCTGAAATGAAATTGAGTCGCATCTTACAGAGGGACAGCTGCCTCACCTGCAACGTGAAAGCAATTCCCACCCGGCAGGCAGCATTAATAAATGTCAAGTTTCAGGGCGCAGAGAGGAGCCCGCCCAATGGGAGCTGGTACTGCATCGGGACATCCTGAGCAGTCGGGAAAACCGGATGCCGGCGGCTTTCTGCCACTCGGCACCACTGGATGTCAGTCCTGTCCGTCCGCCGCCGGGTCAGGCATTTGGATGGACGCCCCAGGGCACCTGCCTCCGCACGGGCAGCATGCTCCTCTCCCCCTTGGCGCAGCTGTTCTGCTGGTCGCGCGGAGAGGGCCTCCCAACAAGGCACACGAAGACACAAAACCGCCGAACGTCCCTTCCTGGAGCGACACGCTTTCTCGGAAGGCAAAGCGCTCGGGTCCCGCTGTCCTCTCGCTCCGAGGCGGGACGCCAGGTCTCCCTGAGCAACCGCGGCCTTGCGCAACCCGACTCCGGGCCGGTGCCCTCCGCGCAGGCGCGGAAAGAGGGGCCAGACAGTTTCCGCTCGCGCCCGGCGTCCCTCGCGTTTCCAGGGGCGGGGCTTGCGTGATGACTTCACGGGGCGGGGCCTCGGGCGGCGGGAAGAGGCGGC